CGATGGTTGACTGTTTGTGAATAAGCATGATTTCCTTGTACATTTGTGTCACAGTTGGTTATCTTACATCCAGAGTGGCGATGCGTCCTTCGTTGGCCATTGTGACTGTAGATATGAATGTGATATGGTAGTTGATTGTTGTAAGAAGAGAGAGGTTCAGTCACAATATATCTTATATCGAAGAAAGGTATCAGGTCAAAGTCAAGTCATGGCGGAGATGTTTCCATTCCTGATACAACTTGCGGGGTTATCGATCTCCATGACGTGTCTGTGAATGGGTTGCACTAGGTAATATCAAGAGAGAATTCGGTGATATTCCGGAGACTCGGGAATCTGATTAATCTGGATGTTTTTGAGCGGATCACAAGAATCATTAGATACGGATGTTGATTGCCGTGATATCTTTTACTATAGCGACCTCGGAGTACCTTATGGTAGACGACTTAGAAAGCAAAGGGGAGAATATCGTTGTAAAAGAAAACCACTTTCTTTTTCATCCTTAGGTGGCGTACCAAAACCTCTATAGACTCACTCATGTTAGCCATTCATATGTACATAACTTACTAACTTAATTATACTTTAACTCACTAACCCGCCCAACTTCTGAGACTCGCTGACATCATCACTCGACGTCCCGAGACCATCTTCAGTTAACTTCAATTACCATGGCCATCTCACAGCACAAAACCAATTCCATGACTGAGACAGAGTCACGATAGCACGATAACAGACAGTATGCTTGACACGACATACCGACATAGCAACCTGAATATGAAAGTGTCAACAGATCACAAAATCTTCCTCAAACCTTAGAAAGAAAAACATCAAACAGCTTCAATCCAAAGTAAGCACAAAGGACATCTCTCCCTGATACACGGCAGGCCTATACTTGTCTCAGTCGCCAACCTCTCAGTGCAATCACCATATATGCAACAACCACAAGAAAACCACTGTAAGGCAATATACTCGTCATCCCAAGGGCAAAAGGCAACAAGAATGGTCTCTGAAAATGGAATGCCTCGCCTGAGGGCCAGAAGAAACCCCTATATCCTTGCCTTTGGTATGGCAGTAGCCGCTATCAGGTGAGTCTCTATTTGTAATATGCATTCTCTGCTTCTGACTGCGAATAGTTCAATTACCCTGATGTCCGCTGCTATCCTTGCCACCACATCCATAATCTGGCCTTATACTCCTGAAGTCCAGGCAGGCAGTCTTCACATCAGGCGTGACTCGGGGCCTGACGACCCAATTCCTATAGCATGCCACTCGCATAACGACTATTGGAAGCCTCAGCCTTTCACCGGTGCTATCGCGGCTGGTTGCATTGGCATCGAAGTAGATGTCTGGGAGGTCCGGGGTGATCTCATGGTCGGCCATGCCAAGGGCGATCTATCAGCCGGCAAAACTTTGACGTCCATGTACATTCAACCTCTAGTGAACTTACTCGAGGTTCGAAACCAAGACAGAGTTCCGGGACTTCTACCTCGAGGCGTATATAATCGCGGACCGAACCAGACTGTAGTGTTGCTGGTGGACTTGAAGTCGAACCCGGATAAATCATGGCCACTGTTACTGGAGAAGCTAGTGCCACTTCGTCAAAGGGGTTGGTTGAGCCATGTCAACCACGGCAAGTTTGTGTCTAGGCCCATCACAGTCGTGGCAACTGGTAAGACCAAGTTTCGCCAGGTGAAAGAAGCCAACCCTTCACACGACGTCTTCTTTGATGCACCACTCAAGAGTCTAACAAAAGGCCAATACGACAAGACCAACTCATACTATGCCAGCACCTCGGTAAAAAAGTCGATTGGCAATATTTTTAAGCCAGGGAAGCTGGAGTTGATACGCGATCAGATCTCTCAAGCCCATAGTCGAGGTCTCCTGGTTCGATATTGGGGCATGCCAACGATGTCGCCAATAGTCCAAAGACAAGTTGACAAGAAATTGCTTGACGAAGGCGTTGATGTCATCAACGTTGATAGTTTGCAGGAAGCAAAACGTACTTTTGCTGAGAGGAGACACTCGAACGACTGAAGCTTGTCCCCGAAGTAACTGAAGAGAGAATCGATTTCCATAAACATCGAGAAGAATGTAAACATTAGAAGAAATAATGCAAATAATTTGAATACAGCTTTGTACTAGTATTGCAAGATCTTGAACCTGTCATCTCTTCATTACCTGAAGTGTGTCTACCTTTATAGGAGTGGTTAGAAACGAGATACTGAGGTACAATTCTTAGCAAGTAAAAAGCCTTGTTTAATTTCAAGTTAGACTGCCAAAATTGGACGCGGTGAAATAGGTAGGAACTTAGTTAGCACATATTCTCAAGACATTACCTCGAGTTATAATGAAGTTTTGGTCCTGAGTGAGTGGGCCAGAGGCATTCATTGGCAACCCCCAAAAAAGGAAGGTCTCCACTAAAAAAATGTCAAGGCGGTCAAGACAGTCCCGCGGCAGAATTTGGAGATTTTTCCTATTAGCACCCAGTAACATTTGCCCAGAAGCTTTGCGCCGACTATCAAACACGACAAAGTCGCATTCGACATTTACATACGCAGAAATGGTCACAAAAAGCAAACTAAAGATGGCCCTCGCCGCCGAGAAGGGCACAGACTTCAAGAAGCTCAAGCTCCTGAAAAAGCAGAAGGAGGCTGAGAAGCGCAACGCTGCTGCTCGCGGGGCAGACAAGGACGACGAGAAGAAGAAGACCGTTGAAATTGAGGCTGAGTTTGAAGACGATGATGAAGAAGACGAGGAGGAGGATGATGATGAGGATGATGAGGAAGACGAAGAGCCTCAGGTTTGTTATAAACCATCTCGCGCCCGAGAATTTGGCTAACAGAATGCAGTACGATCTGAACGGCATCAACGACAGCGACGACTCAGATTCTTCAATCGAACTCGAGGAAAAGATCATTCGCAAGCCAAAGAGAGATACACTCAAGAAGAGCGAAATCGCAAAGCTGGCAGCTGAGAAGAAGGCCGCGGCCCAAGAGGACGACGATGAGGAGGAAGAGGAAGATGAAGAGGATATTCCCATGTCTGATCTCGAGGACCTCGAAGATGAGGACAAGGAAGATATCATTCCCCACCAGCGCCTCACCATCAACAACACAACCGCTCTCCTCGCCGCGCTGAACCGCATCTCCATCCCCACAGACAAGTCCGTCCCATTCGCCACCCATCAATCCATCATCTCAACAGACTTGACCTCTGAGGCCATCCCCGACGTGTCAGACGATCTGCAGCGTGAGCTCGCCTTCTACAGCCAGAGTCTCGAGGCCGCTCGCTCTGCCCGCAAGCTTCTCCGAAAAGAAAACGTCCCCTTCTCTCGTCCCAAGGATTACTTTGCCGAGATGATCAAGGAGGATGCTCATATGGAGAAGGTCAAGGCTAAGCTTGTGGAGGAGGCGTCTAACAAGAAGGCTGCCCAGGAGGCTCGCAAGCTGCGCGACCTCAAGAAGTTCGGAAAGCAAGTCCAGGTTGCTAAGCTCCAGGAGCGACAAAAGGCCAAGCGTGAGACTCTTGAGAAGATCAAGAACCTCAAGCGAAGTAAGCATTCCCACAACTCACCACCTCTACGTTACTCCTTACTAACAGCCATTTTCAGAGCGATCAGAAACCGGTGGTGCTGGTCTCGACACCAAGGAAGCCGACATCTTCGACGTCGGTGTCGAGAAGGAAATGAAGGGCCACAACCCTCGCGCAGGCGCTGGTCGCGGCCAAGTCGGCGCCGGAGCCAACCACAAGCGAGCCAAGAAGAACGAGAAGTACGGTTTCGGAGGCAAGAAGCGCCATGCCAAGTCAGGCGATGCCATGAGCTCCGGCGATCTCAGCGGTTTCGATCCCAAGAAGATGAAGGCCGGCAGCAGAGTTTCCAAGTCTCGGCCTGGCAAGGCGAGGCGGAAGGCCATGGGCTCCCGGTAAAGAGAGGGAGAGACATTGCGTTGATAATCATTAGTGAGACGGGGGGCGAGATTGGCTTGCGTGATGCACTGCTGTTGAAAAGAAAGGCTAGAGATGAAGTACAAGGGCTGGCGTTTAGGGTCCTCTTGCATGTAAATCGAAACCATTTGGTCAATATTCATATTTTCTGTCACAATACTATTCATACTTGCACAATGTGATGCATCTCCAAAGACTCGGACTCGATTGTCTTCCAAATCTTCACGTTTTGTCTACAAAGTGTCCGAATTAGTCCGCTTCATCATGGTCAATCACTTTAGGAGCCAGGTATTTTGATTTTTTGGTCATTTCATCTATACCCAAAGGAATATATAGAAGATTCTGATTTCGACTGCATATCAAGTCTGAGCAGTCCCGATAGCCTCCAAGATGATGCCCTGTTATGGGCTCAATCACCAAGCAGGCTGCACATCCAACCCTGTTGAACATGCAAATCAGTATCCACTGAATCAATTTTGCAGCCGACTCTGCCCGTGTCGTCTTTTGCGAATCACCATCGCCTCCTCCGTCGTTCTCCGTCGTCAAGTCATATCCAGATGTCCATGCCCTCGAGAGTGGTGCCATCCGAGAGCCCCCAGCAGTCAAAGGTATCTATATACATAAACGAGCACCATTGTCGTCTGCTTAATGCCCGCTCGCGGTCGAAAACGCCAAAGCTCAGAGATATATAACCCCCGAGCGGTTGCAGCCACACCAATAAGAAATAATTAGAAAAAGGGAACCTCCAAGGTGAGAGAAGTGTTAGATAAGAGACAAAGAAACGTTGAATGTGCAATGACATGCGATGATGCACCCAAAGCCAATGACCGTCAATGATGCCCAACCCCGTACGCCCATGAAAAAGAAAGCAAAACCAGTGGTATCGAGAAGAAACGCCATGCGCTCATGACACGCTTTGCTGTGCAATGCATTTGCAACCCTTGAAAGAATAATGCGTATGAATCAAGCATTGATGCAGCAGGATGCGCCGAGAAGATGCTGTTATGAATTGATTGTCGTGTAAATCATTGTGCTGAGCCACCACCAAGCGAACCACCTTACTGTGTGGCCGCTACACACCAGTGGCGGTGGAAAGCCCATGCGCTCTTCTGGCACTCTTTGCTGCAGTATTTGGTGCGTCGGCATCGACGACACTTGGCAAACTGGCGAGTGTACTCTTCCCATTTGCCGCACTGGTAGTATGCGCATTGGCGGATGCCTCCGCGTGTGTCATCCTTGCGGCAGAGGTTTCGCATAACAACCCCGGCCCAGTACTGCATATCAGTGCTGTGGTAGCGGACTGTGAACTTCTCGACCAGTGGGAAGAGGTTGAAGTCGTTGGGGAGAAGGTACTCCTCATCGTCGGCATCTTCATCGTAGACCTCGGGTTCTTCCTCTTCTTCATCCATGGCAGACATGTCCTTATCAATGGCAGCGAGCTCCTTGCCAATCTTAAGGCGAGGAACGAGGTGGCTCTTCTGGAAATAGGAGCGTAGACCACAGTACTTCGAGACATAGGCAAGAAGCTGCAAAGACATGAGCACATCCTCTTCTCGGGGCATCGCAGCGACCATCTGTGGGTTGGGAACGAAGTTGCGGTCGAGGAGATATCGAGGGACGGTAGTGGCGGCCAGAGGGGGCTGAGGGGGGGTGTTCAACGTAGGACGGTTAGGTGAGAGACCAATTGCAGGAACCGGAGCCGGGGTATTGTTGTTGGCAATACTTCCGTCCATAGGGCTACGGTGGTTAATGTTGAAGGTGCTGGCCTCTTGGTGGGTCTCAGAGACAGTTGGCGTAGCCAAGTCAAGAGCTGTACCACCGAGCATAGTGTCACCATCTTCCATAGTGATGTCCTGGATACCAACAGCTGACTGCAGGTTATCGGTACCTGTCATCTCTGTCTCAGGTGACTCGTCTGACGGCATGCTGTCTCCATTAATGTCGTCGGCATCGGCAGTCGAGTTCTGGTGGCGGATCGATGGGCGTCTACGAGACCGTTGGGAGCCAAGAGCAGATGCTGGGCGAACAGTGGGCGATCGCATCTGGGGCGGCGGCAGTGGCGTAGTCGGGGATGTGGGTTGAGATAACAGATCTGAGCCGAATGGTGCCATCGACGCAAGGCGATCGATATCACGAACAGGTCTCACAAAACCATCAAGAGTCTCGGTGGGAGGGACTGCAGTTGCAAGGGGCTGCATGGCCTGACGGGGGGCCGAAGTCGTGGCGTGACGACTTTCAAGACCTCTCAGGGGCTGGTGACGAGATGAACCCCAAGACGTAGATCGATCTGAAGAAGACTGGGACCATTGGGAGTTGCCCATAGCAGTATCGGCGGGTTGTTGCGTCTGCTGCTGAGGAGCAGCGGTCGATGGCCCAGCGTAGGAGGCTGAGACATCAATGGATGGCGGTGGGCCGTGACGACGAGATCGCTGTTCGGTGGCATCGACACGAGAACTAGATCGATGACCAAACGCAGAGGCACCTACTGTTGTGGAAGACGAAGATGATGCAGAGGCAGAGGCCGATGCTGAGTTGGAGGAGGAAGCTTTAGGGGTTGAACGGTGTTCATGGCTTCGGTGACGGTGATGGTCGTAGCTCTGCTTCTGTTTGGCCTCCTCAGCCTTCTCGCGGCATTTGTCAACAGCTTTTGTGTAGTTATCGAGGATGGTAGCGATAACAGGGACCATGTCAGCCTCAACAACTCTGGTGCGGACGTTTTCCGTGCCTCGGACGCCGATATTGACAACACACTGAAAAGCAAGGTTCCACTTCCACATTCCCATCATGTCCTTACTACGACCTTGCTTGAGAATGCAGACGAGACGCTCGATGCCTCCATCGACGGTGAGGATATCACGGATGCGAGCAGAGGATGTGGTAAGATAGGCGAGATGATTGAGGGAGTTGATGAGGGGGAGGGTCGAGGTGCAGTCGAGAGCACGGCGGTCATATAGGGCGGTGGTAATACCGACGGACGCCTTGTTGACGTTGGGGATACTGAAATTGACTTCCCTCATGTTGGCGGTTGATGAAGTTGAAGGATGGCCAAGGCGGGTTTCGGAGGTATGGTATGGGAGGGATTATTAACGACCCCAATTTGTCGAGATGGTGTGGCGACCTGAAGCCTGACGACAATAAAGCAAGCCAGATTCGCAACGTTTAACAGACAACACAATAGGAAGCGAGGTCGATGATGCTATGGACAAGCCCCTCGATGGGGGAACTGGTCAAGGTAGATCGAGTCGGACAGGAATTTGAGGGTATCGTAACGGATCGTGACGCGGTGGAGCGAGTCTGGCGCAGGATTACTCGTGAGATTGCAGGGGAACAATTTCCGACGGCCAAAGGAGGAGGTTCGAGGACAGACGTTATAGATGAAGGATACGTACAGCACTAGTAAACGAGAAAAAGAGGAAGATGGAAATGAAGAGGGTATTTTGGGGGGGAAATGGTGTTGGAACGGCTGCAGAGGTAAGTTGATGGGAGATGGGAGAAAAGACGGAGTGGAGAGTTGGTCGAAGGGGACGGGATGGGGTGAAGAGTGTGAAGAGGCTGGTTTGGTTTGGTTTTAGGCGGGTTTTGGAAGCCCAGGCATTCGGCCGATGAGTCCCTCCACTGATGAGGTGCTGTAGGTGACCTATGGTAGGGGCCGTAGGGGAGGCCGAATTAGGCGGGAGTGCCAGGGGTGGTCTCTCTCTGGGCGGGTTTTTGGGGGAGGGTCTGTGTGTTTGTGTGCGTGTGTGGCGGTGGAGAGATCCGACAGACAAGACAGCTGATGAGCTGCAGCAAGGTACAGTAGGTATGTACTTGCCTTGGAGGTGACGAAGATATCGAATTGCTCAGGTATTCCAATTTTCAGGATGTATTTTAGAATTGAAGAGTTATCGATGAGGATGACGAATCAGATACGGTGATGATGAGTTTAGAAGAGGAATCGATAGAACTTGGTGAGGACTTTAGAAGATATTAGATGGGTTACCAAAAGGGAGGATCGAGTGGATGCGCTGTTACAGCGTACAGCTACAGCTACAGTACAGTACAGACCTCTCTCTAACGGCTAACATTGGATGGATTAATATCTTGTTCACAGCAATAGTTTTGTGCCGTCAAAACATTTCTCCTTTCACTTGTTCATCACTCGCCTCTTCAGTCAACAAACCCCGAATCTACTGCATGAGAATGGATGAGATTGTGGATCTTGGCAGCAGGCAAATATGTAGGTAGGTGGCTGAACTGGCGACTGGCACTGGATGGACTGGATGGCCAAAAAATTGTACGAAACTCGGACACAGCGAGGCTACTAACTATCGAACGAAGCTGACGGGTGAGGTGAGCACTGAGTAAGGTGACTCAAAGCTCCAAGACAAGCTCATCAAAGGAAGCTCGTACATCTAGTAGGCCCCAAACCTGGTTTTTCTGTTGACAGCTGAAATGAGAAAAATATGCAAATGCCTTGGATCTGTCAGTTCAAGTGAGGTTGGGACCCCTCTGAGTGGTTTGATTTTGATTACATATGGCCACGGGTGGAATTGTTTCAGGCGTAGCTGGAGATTGACCAGGGCTTTGGTCTCCCTTCCCATGTCTTGTCTTGCGTGCTGCCTGTCACTTTGTCCTCTTTGCTTTTGCTGTTATACTCAGCTCGTAATTAATTAATTTATCTCAGTGGTTTAATACTACAACAGTCGGATCCGATTCTCGGGAACTCCTCAAACCTGGTCTTGTCCTTTGTTGAGGGGTTTCTCAGCTTCAGACACAAAAGAAAAAAAGGTCAATGGCGCCAAGACAGTGTCATGACTGGTATCATCATGAGGCCGAGGATCTTGGCAGCAGAATACTTCATGAGATGGTGGTTCTCAGTCAATGCTCCATACTTATAAATATTTCACGGTATATCAGATATCTTGATCGATATTCGTATAATAGCCGCCAAAGCCGTGCCCATACCCCCAAGGGCCCCAACTGACATCCGGGACGTAGGGGATCAAGTCCGAGCCGAAGTTACCCAAGCCCGAATAATTAGCCTCCCGCCCTTTTCCTTGGCTGGCGGCCCGACACAAGCTTACCTCGTGGACATGGCCATGAGGGTGAGTTCTAAGGTCTCGTGATGATTTTCTACAGCGAGAGACCTTGAATCTTGGATCTCACTAAGGAAACTGTCACCGACTATTGATCGAAAGTGCGGAGATTTTGTCTTATCGTGATCCAACTCGTGATGTGACAACGTTGTGTTTCATCTGTATACAAAGCAAGTCAAGCCACTGCATCAGAAGTGATCATAATCATCATGCGAGAGCCAGTTCGTGCCTGTCAAGCTTCATATCTCATTATCAAGACTGCATGGATTTGGGTGAGCTGCTTATTTATTTATTTACTTACTACCCATAAAGGTGCTCGTCAAGGTTGTTCATTACCTTATGCATGTGTCGTACTTTCACTCACTACCTTACTCACGGCAATGGAGCCACGATCCATCTTGTTGATACTGGCCAAGAACCAAATTGTCGGAGACAGCGAGTTCTCGACCTCAACCCCAGTCGGTCTCGAGGGATGCTCTTGGGGATTATCTCGCCGATCTCTGCATGCGAATCAGCCGTTGGACAGTCGCTCAACCTCAATGGGGCAATGATTGATGTCCTCGGGGAATTTGGACACCATTAGGTTTGATGATATCTGATTTCCGACGCCTACCCTAGATCTCCATATTTTACCAGCGACTGCATTCGATAATTTCTGCTTACGGTTGTACGCATCAATATTGACCACTAATCATGCTGGAATATTCCGTCGTAAATGCGCATACACATCATCTTGGCTGCCTTGTGCAACAAAAGACTCAATATCGCCACTCACCCATCCCTTGACTCCTCACCTGAGAACACAAACATTCAATGAATAACAGCCATGAATTTTTCGCGCCCAGTATAAGCCCTGCGTATAAAGGGTCAATTTTAATGCAAAGTTAAACTTTGATGTGTTGGTTCCATCAAATTTCTTCGTTGAAGGCTTGCAAAGACCCCGCTGAGCGTGCCACGATTTAATGTCGCTACTGTTGGTCAGGATCAGCAGCGACCTGATTGGCTGCCCTGGCGAGTGTTACCGCTGTATCGGCGCTTAAGTTTCAAAAACACCAATAAGATCTGTGACAAGGAATTGATAGTGCACAGTTGCCAACAATTGATCAACCAACAGCTGCAATGTCCAGCTGATTTGGAATTATCAGCTAAATTAAGACATAACTGCAGCTGGAAAGTAACCTGTCAAGTTCACTACCGAAGCCACGATACTCAAAGATATTAATAAGTTGTCATTTATTATCATTAATTGCATCGAGCCAAGTCCTCGTCAGAACTCAATTCGAGCCTAGATATTAAGCCAGAAATAGGTAGCCAAACGCTCACATTAGTCGCCGCTAATTTTGGCATGCCGGAAATACTTCATACCAACCCAAGCGACAACAACCCATACCCAAGCCATAACGCCTGTGAGGATGATCAACGCCGGATAGTACCCCACGATTGGTAGAGTATCATCATCTTCGAACTCTGGCGGCGCATACGGCGTCTTTCCCACGTCCCATGCCCAGCTCCAGAGATCAAGACATGATCCCATTCCTACAACGAACACAAACCATGTCACGCATAGGACAACCCATCCCCACCATTCTGTTTCCGCGTAGTCCCAGTCTTCGTGAGCCGGGAGTGTGTTGGATGAAAGACCACTGAATGATAATGGCGACTTTGCCCGGTTGGCGGGACGCCTTCGCCCGTGGGATGAGGCTGATCCTAGACTATTGAAGTATGAATCCTGTCCAGAAGACATAGACAGGCCTTGCCGAATTGTTGACGAGCTCCCCGGTATCTGGAGCATATCTTCATCGTCCGTCGATGTATAAGATGCCCCATCTTGATCCGCAAGTGATATTGGGCGTGTTGTTTGTGATGCTGTTCCATTCTGAGGAAGTACTGGTGCTGTCCCAAGTCCTCCAGGGAGAGGGGTGAATCCATTGACCAAGTTCCGTTGACCATTGGCCGACGTCGCGTTCAAGCCCAAAGAATCTATCGATGATGGGCTTTCCGTCTTTACAGCATTAGGGTCGAGACCAAACGCAGCAGCATGTGAAGTGTCAATGCTCAACGGTCGGCTCTCCCTACGCTCACGTTGTGCTCCTCGACCAAGTAGCGCCGCTTTCCTAAGTGATCCTCTTCGTCTTCGAGTTCTTTGGTACTGTATTACGCTCGCTGATGGTCTCGCGGCCGGGCGAGGAGAAGTTGGAATGCCATTGTCGTCGATTGCATTTTCGGTCTGGTTGTGTCGCTTTTCGGGGGACGTTCTCAAAAAGGGGAACTTGGATAGTATGCTCGAGTTCGAGGAGGTTCGTCGGTGGGATGAAGAAGGCGTAGGTGAGGTATCACGCTTATGATGAGAAGTGTTTTCCATCACGAGAGTGTAAAGAAGAGGTTGAGCACAGCAATCGTATTGAATTGCTATCGCAAGCTTCGAACGACTGGTAGTTGAATTATTGAGATGGAACAAAGAAGCGAATGTGACTGGTTCATGGCAACAGTCGAATGCCGCGAATTGACATTATTGAAGGAGAATAGTTTGCTGCATGACTCCTACACCCTTCCGTCGTTGTTTATGTCAAGATTATGGACGTTGGAATAATTATTGAAGCCAGATAGAACCACATGAAGCTAATGACGACTACTTTGAGGCTTGTGTCCATGTACGCCACATCAAAGACAAGGGATTCATCAACCCACTATACCGGACATGGATAGTCTAGATAGTGCTCTGTGGCTGCTTTCTAACCCCTGCATCTTCCACAGCACCCCTGAAAGATCCTAATCTACCCCCCATCGGTCCGCCTCCACAACCTAATGGCTCAGGTAATGGATATCGCGACGTCAACGCATTCCAACTCATCAGGCTTCTTTTTCACGACTCGCGCCATCGACGAAACCAGGTTCTGTGCGACCCAAACTCTGGGAAAACCCCCATGACATAATTTTTCAAG